CTATCTAGTAGCTATGACTATATCAAATTGAAAACTACAGAAACCAACAGTGGTTAATTTAAGGGAAAATAGAACAAGATAATTTATTGGTAGGTTTCTGAGTAGCTGAGAGAACGAAGAGCTGAAAAGCCATACCTTGGAAGAACTTTCAGTTTCTAGTTCCTTATGTAAGAAACTTGGAAGTCACCACTACATCTTAACAACAGGTAAAAACCTAAACAAGGCTGGACTCTGTGGCTCAGCCTGTAATCCTAGGACTTTGGGAGGCTGAGGCAAGTGGATTGCCTGAGCCCGTGGGTTTGAGACCAGTCTGGGCAACTTGGCAAGACCTCATCTCTATAATAAATAAAAAATTAGCCGTGTGTGGTAGTGCGCGTCTGTGGTTCTGGCTACTTGGAAGGTTGAGGCGGAAGGATCGCCGGAGCCCAGCAGGTCGACTCTAGAGTGGCCATGAGTGTGCTACTGCACTCCAGCCGGGGTGACAGAGTGAGACTCCAATTCAAAAAACAAAAAACAAAAAATCCCCCTAAAACTGAAGAATCAACAGCTTTTCTTAGATCTATAAGAGAAGTGTGATCACAGGGCAAACTGTTACCTCTCAAATTGGAGAGACAGGCAGACACAGAGAATCATAACTTACTGGAGCAGAAACTTCCTTGGAAACTAGTGCTGGGGTGGGAAAACCTAAACTGTAATTGGCTAATTGTTGAAGGCTTAGTGTGGATGAGTCTAAGGGCTAAAAACTCTAGGAGGATCCAGGCAGAGAGAATCCTCATGCTTTTGTGAGTTTTACCTCTAGGAGCTCAACTAGGTTTTCACAGTTAATACTGAAGAAAAATCCCCTTGTGCTTCTGGCAAGGAGACAGGGAAAGGATCCATTTTGAACTATGCTGGAGTGCTCTGTTCTTCTTAACAAAGAGAAGCTAGTTAGTTAACTAGAGCCTAACCTACTGAAGTTTTATCAGGGCTTAACTGGCTTAGGAGAAGGGCTCCAACTTTAGCCTTCCATGTCGGAGAAGAGCAATACTCAACTCCAGCACACTCTTGCCATCCTGTCCCACCTAAGGGATGGGAAAAAAAAACCCAAAAAACTGAGAAACCTTTGTGAACTTCACAGCCCAGAGGTATAGCTTCGTAAAAGATTGAGACCTAATCATAGGACTTTAGAATACTTCCTTTCCCCCTACACCTTACTATCACATTACAGAAGGCCTGTTTACAGCAGTTTCCTTTCCTAGTCTATTATTTCTCGCTTGCAAGAAAAAATTACAAGGCCTACTTCCAGGTAGAAATACAGTTTAGAGAGAGAATAAGCATCAGAACCAGACACGGCAGGGATTTTAAACAACTATGATTAATATGCTAGGGACTCCAGTGGATAAGTATATGACATGCAAGGATGATGGCCAATGTAAGCAGAAAGATGGAAATCCTAAGAACCAAAAAGTAATGCTAGAGATAAAAGCCACTATGATGGAAATTAAGAATGTCTTTGATGGTCTTCCTAGTAGATAGGTCACAGCTGAGGAAAGAATCTCTGAACTTCATGTTAATAGAAACCTTCAAAACTGAAAAACAAAGAGAACACAGATGGAAAAAACCAGAATGGTATCCGAGAGCTGTGGGACAACTGCAGAAGGTATAGCATACATGTAATGGGAATACCAGAAGGAGAATAAAGAGAGAAAGGAAGAAAATATATTTAAAATGGTAATGACTGAGGATTTCCCAAATTAATGTCCAACCATAGATCCAGGAAGCTCAAAGAACATTAAGCAGGATAAATATCAAGAAAACTACAGAAAGTTAAAGATAAAGAAAACCCTGAAAGAAGCCAGAGGGAAAAAGCCCCCTGCCTGTAGAGGAGCAAAGATAAAAATTGCTTTAGACATTTCTTAGAAACCATCCAGGCAAGAAGAGAATGGAGTGAAATCTTTACAGTGTTGAGAGAAACACTCTACCTTATTAAGGGCGTGAACTAGGATGGCTCCAGGCATTTAGATTGAGAGAGACTTGAATGATGTAGTTCCAGCCTATGTCAACCTAACTCAAGACTCATTCCCAGCAGGGTCTGATTTCCCCAACATGAGTGATCATCTCACCCCTTGACTGATGGCATAAGGTGATTTGATTAACACACCCACCAAGATCTTAGGAATGGAGGAAAGGAGAAGTGAGGTGTTGTAAGCAAAAGAAAGTAGTGGAAATGCTGAACAGACAAAACCAACCAGTTTCCGTTCCAGACTATTCAGTTGAGATCCGTGTTTCTTGGTAGGCTTGTCATTGCTCTTTGGGGGAAATCATTTTTCTTTGTGAGCTGCTGCCCCAATGCATTGCAATGTATTTAGCATTCATAGCTCCCAGGTACTGAATATGGCCAGCACAGCCCCACTATTGTCCTCACAACCAAGGCATACACACATACACCATTTCCCAACATACACACATATACCATGGAACAGAACACGGAGAACCACTGTGCTGCATGATCCTTAAAGCTGTTTTGATTTAATCAGATGCATTTCCACTGCTAAGCAAAAGGTTGTTTGCAATTTTGTTTTAGTAAAATAATGTTTCTTATCTCTTACCCAAATGTTTTTCAACTTACTATTCCCAAATGTCTAAATTGATCTGCATCTAGTACCATATGAAATATATAAGAAATTCATCAATTTGTTACTTCAGTTTATTTCTTAAAGGGTACAGTCTTTAAATCCAGATTCTGGATTCAAGTTCCACAGTCATAGCTCAGTATTTACTAGTAGTTACTTCCTTTGGGTTTTTACATAATCTTATTTTGGGCAGTTATGTAATCTGTGCCTCTGTAAAATGGAAATAATAATAGTACCTACTTCATAGGGTTACTGTGATGTTTACATTAGTGTGCATAACACAAGCACTTAATGTATTGCCAGGAGCATAGTAAATTTATGCATGTATACATTATCATTCTATTTATAAAATGGGATATTAATAATTAATAACACAGATAGCAAAAATATTTTTTTTTGAGAGGGAGTTACCTTTTAAAATTAAATTGTTTTATTTGTAGAAGGATTTTGCTATGGCATTTAGCTTAGGACCTGTACTTTGAAAAATACTAGTGAATTATTCATTCCTTCATTCTATATGTATTGAGTATTTGCCAAGTATCTGCTAAACTCTAGGAAGACAGGAAATTTACTCACCAGTGGAGGAAGCAGCTACTAAGTGAACAAATAAATGCCCAGGGTAAGTGTCAAAGTGGCAAGAGCTGTGAAGGAATTGGCAGGAAGGTCTGAAAGCAGGGGAGGTGTCTGTCCTGTGTGCATGAACCAGATGAGAGACCCGAACTGACTGCAGTGAGCCAGGGAGAGAGGAGATAAGGGAGCTCCAAGGGGGGTGCCTTCAAGATGCCAGTAAGCAGCTGGCATTTTCTGCAGGGTTTGGGTTTTTTCCAAGGAAGCTGTTGAAAAGGGGTTTTAAGCAGGAGAGTGTGCTGTCTGGTTTACACTCACCAAAGTTGTTTCTGTCTACTGTGTAGAGTGACTCAGAGAGGTGCAAGGTGGGCCTAGCAGAGGACAAGGGCGACACACTAGGGCTGGGCCAGGTTGCATCAGTGAGATGGAAGGAAGTATGTGCAGTCAGTTCAGAGCACATGCTTTCACTTTGGAGGTAGAGTTAAGGGATGCTGGTGATGGCCTTGTTTGAGGAGGACAATGAGAGAAGGGGGGGTTAGGAACAATACCTAGATTTTTGGCTACGTGCCATTTTGAAGGTATGCCTATATTTCCTCTATTATTAAACTTCTCCCCTATTTTGACATGATCCTTCTCAAAACTTAATTTTTTTAGTATATGTGCTGCCAAAGCAAACACAATAACTTTTTAAATAACATTTTAAAACTTTCATCTTCCTAGTCTAGATTTTTTGCACTGCAGCTAAATTGTGCAATCTTCTTAAATTTCTTCTTGTTTTCCTGTTTGGTAATGTGAACCTCCTTTATTGATATTTCTGGTATTTAATAGGGAGCATTTCTTAAATCTGTTAATTATTGCTGCTGAGAATTTAAATTCACTTTATTTACCTCTGGCAGAGCAGTCTTTTGAAATTAGATAGCTGAGTATCCTCCCTGCCTCTAGGCATGTGAGAGTCTCCGAAGACCTTCACCTGTTGAGAAGCAGCCCTCCTCCCTCTGCCCCTGCCATTCCTGCTTCCTGCTTCCCACTGGGCACCTGGAGACCCTGACCTAGCTCCACCTGAGGCTCACTGTGCAACTCCATTGTTCTTTTTAGCACGGACTTCAGGGCTGGGAAGCCACACTTAGGAGGTTTTACCTTTTTTCTCTTAGGGCTCGTAACTTCCTCAATAATTAAAATTTTTGATTCTCTTACTAAAATATAGCTGTTTCTTATGAATGAATTGAGGTCAAGCATATAAAGCAGTCTTTAGTTCAGTTAAGCAGATTGTTTAAATTGATGCATGTGGAATTAGTTATTTTACTTTTTTCTAAGAAACGAAGAGAAACTGGGAAGAAAATTCATTAGACAGTAATGCATAGAGATTTTTTTTTACACCTAAATGAGAAGCCAGAAATGCATATAAAACATAAGAACTTCAAAAACATTTCTTAGGCATAGACTATTATTAAACACCCATGGATGTTTTTGATTTCCCATTACATTAAAATACTCAAATGAACTTCGTTTCAGAACATTTAAAAATAGCTCAATCTTAAAAAGAAGATATAAAGTATTATCAGCTGTGCTTTTTGTGCATAATTAGCATGTGCCTGTGGAGGTTTAATGACTTCTAGCCTAATGATATTATCGTGATAAATATTCAGATGGTAAAAATTGGAGCTACAGCTGGGTGACACATTTTAAAATAACTCAAAGATGACTCCAGCATACAAGCCATGCTATTTTAGTCCCTTGTAATCCCCTTCACCCTTCAGTGGGCCGTGAAGTCACTGATAAAAGATCCTTTTAAAAATTCTTCATTTACTCTCTTTCTTATAGATTTGATGAGTGTCTACGTTTTCTTCAGTGCTCAGCGGGCTGCTGGGAAGCGACATCGCCTTTTCCCATTTTCCGAGATGGCTCAAGATTCAGTACATCTTTCTTCTGATTATCAGTTTTGGTTGCAGAAGCTTTCTGTGTGGGACCAGGCCTCCACTTTGGAAGCCCAGCAGGACACCTGTCTTCACCTGCCTCAGTTCCAGGAGTTCCTGAGGAAGATGTATGAAGCCTTGAAAGAAATGGTAAGTAGTGGACCAGAATGAGGTTATTTGTGACATCAAGAACTCTACTGGACTTCGCTGAGACAGAATGCTATCCAGAGTCAGGGACTTGTGGTATTGACCTAACGTGCTGATGCATGAGAAAGATAAACCACCCATAGATAATGTAGACAAGAGCTGGTTTCCTAATCTCTGATTCATTATGACGTCAGTCTTTTCTTCTTGGGTAATTGTATTGTCACATGGGATTTCCTGACCAAACAGATTATTTTTATTTATTTTTTGGGGGTTGAGGTCTTACTCTGTCACCCAGGCTGGAGTGCAGTGGCATGATCATGATGATCACATGGCTCACGGCAGCCTCTGCCTCCGGGGCTCAGGTGATCCTTCCACCTCAGCATCCTGAGTAACTGGGACTCCAGGTGCATGCCATCATGCCCAGCTAATTTACTTTTTGTTTTTTATTTTATTTTTTTTGAGGAGGTTTTGCTGTGTGGCCCAGGCTGGTCTCGAGCAATCTGCCCGAGTTTCCCAAAGTGCATTCCCACAGACATGAGCCACTGTGCCTGGCCTCAAGTTGTTTTTTTGGTTTGTTTAGGTTTTTTATTTTTATTTTTTTGAGTCGGAGTCTCACCCTGTTGCTCAGCCCAGAGTGCAGTGGCATGCTCACAGCCACCACTCACAGCCACCGCAGCTTTGATCCTCTGGGCTCAGGTGATCCTTCTGCGTCAGCCTTCCAAGCGGCTGGAACCACCGGCACATGCCACCAGGTCTGGCTAATTTTTTTTTTAATTATAAAAATTAGGTCTCGCCAAGTTGCCAAGGCTGGACTTGAATCCTTTGGCCCAGGAAATTCTCTCGCCTCCACCTCCTGAAATGATGGGATTACAGGCATGAACCACTGTGTCCAGCCCACAAGTTGTTTTTTTTTTTTTTTTTTTTTTTTTTTGAGTTGGAGTCTCACTCTGTCGCCCAGGCTGGAGTGCAGTGGCATGCTCACAGCCACCACTCACAGCCACCGCAGCTTTGATCCTCTGGGCTCAGGTGATCCTTCTGCGTCAGCCTTCCAAGCGGCTGGAACCACAGGCACATGCCACCAGGTCTGGCTAATTTTTTTTTTAATTATAAAAATTAGGTCTCGCCAAGTTGCCAAGGCTGGACTTGAATCCTTTGGCCCAGGAAATTCTCTCGCCTCCACCTCCTGAAATGATGGGATTACAGGCATGAACCACTGTGTCCAGCCCACAAGTTGTTTTTAAATAAACAAAATTTTGATATTTGTTATCAAGTAATAAATGGGATTTTTTTTTTTTTTTTGAGTTGGAGTCTCATTCTGTCGCACAGACTAGAGTGCAGTGGCCCGCTCCCGGCCACCGCAGCCTCGACCTGCTGGGCTCCGGCGATCCTTCCGCCTCAGCCTTCCAAGTAGCTGGAATTACAGGCGTGTGCTACCACGCCTGGCCAATTTCTTGATTTATTGTAGAGATGAGGTCTCGCAAAGTTGCCCAGGCGGGTCTCGAACCCGCGAGCTCAGGCAATTCACTCACCTCAGCCTCCCAAGGCACGGGATTACAGGCTGAGCCACCGAGCCCGGCTCTAAATGGGATTTTTATAAAGGCCTTTGTGTCTCTCAAGTCTTGGAGAGTTTGCTAAATGCTTACCCTTTCCTCAACCCTGTTCTCAAATGGGCTCGCCTAAGAGATGATACATATTAATATCTCTTCTTACAAATATAATATTTCTCATAACTATTAAGATTCTGAGTGTCTTCACTATTGTAATTTGTTTTCAAAACCATATATATTCTTTTTGATGTAATATTTCTTTTATTGTAATAGATATTTTTATGACTTAACACGTTTTTATATTTTGAAGATATTATTTGTTTGTTTGTTTTTCCACAATGAAAAGCAAAACTGTCACCTAACGATTCTTGTATGCTTCTCTTCCCTTAATCAAAGAAGCAGTATGAAATTTGAAAAGTAATTTGTGTTGATAATATAAGTTTTGATGTCTTTAGAAACTAGAAGGAAGGATAGAGTCTGTGTGAACAACCATTGCTAATTTTTAAAATTGTTGTTTGTAATGAGACTTATGTAACTTAACCTTAATGTGGTCCCAGAAAGTCTTAGACCAACTTTGATGCAGAGACAAATGTGAGAAAGTTTTTTCTGCAGCAGCAGGAAATGCTTATCATTTCAGCTTACCTGCACATTATCTCAGCTTGGTTTTATTTTTGAACTTTCATGAAAGATAAAGAAGTGGGAAAAGGGCCAGTTGTAAAATAGCATGTGTGTTTTTAAAAAAATCTTGAGCTGTTTTCTATTTGGTTGATCTTTTTTTGGTCTCAGGGTTTAGGTTGTTATAGACCAAGTATGATGTCATTTACCATATAGTAATCAAAATAGTAATAAACAGAGATATATATCTTTATGTTTTGGCTGCTTTTATTTCTTTTTTACAAGTTCCAGAGTTCTTGTCCTTTTAAACCTTTTTTGAAATAGTCTTAGTGGAGCTGAGTTAGGAATCTCTCTTATGTTAGAATAAAAAACCAGGATGAAGATATGGGAGTATATACTTATCTAGTGTTTCTTTTTTAATACAGTTTTTGTTATTTTAAAATAAAGTGGCCTTTCCTGACTATTAAATATGAGTAAATTTAATTTTGTAACAATTGATTTTACCTAATTATGTCATACATCTTAGTTTTGCTGATCTGGTTTAAGGATGAAGTAAGGTAGTTGGTTGTTTGTTAAACTTTATTTGAATTACTAATTATTTACCTAAAGATCTTCCTTAATCCTTTCTTGCCTACTTTTTGTAAACAAGAAGCATTTGAGCTTTCTCAACCTTAATGTCAGTTCAGTCTTTCTGAGTTGCATAATGCCTTTTTACTGACAAAATGTAATTTTCTTTTACAGGATTTGAATGCAGTCGTTGAAAGATTCCCCACACTTGGTCAACTGTTGGCAAAGACTTGCTGGAATCCTTTTATTTTAGCATATGGTAGGAATCCAAAGCATGCCCTTTCAAAATGACTACTTTAATCTTTGCATTGTTTAATAAAATATAGAGACTTAAATTATAAACCTTTCTCCTATTTTCCCTGGACGTATCAAATGTATTCATTGTTTCATTACAAAGATTGCTTCCTTTATTGTTGTCCTTCTGTGTGTGTGTATGTTTGTGTAGATGAACACACATGCATGCACGCACATGTACAGATCTGTAGGAAAATAGAGCTCTTTGTGTTAGAGCAGGGGTCTCCAACACGCTTGGGCAGTCTGTGGTCTGTTAGGAACTGGACTGCACAGCAGGAGGTGTGTCCAGCAAGCAAGAGAAGCTTCTTCTGTATTTACAGTCTCTCCCCACTGCTTGCATTTTTGCCTGAGCTCTGCCTTCTGTCAGATCAGTGGCGGCATAGATTCTTGTAGGAGCAGGACCCTACTATAACTGTGCACGTGAGGGATCTAGGTTGCATGCTCCTTAGGAGAATCGAATGTCTGATGATCTGTGGCGGAGCTGAGGCAGTATTGCTAGCACTGGGGAGCGGCTGCAAATGCAGATTAACGTTAGCAATAAGGTTTAACTACACATAGACCATAATAAATTAGTTGCTTGCAGACTTACATCGAAACCCTATCAGTGAGTGGTAAGTGAGTTGATGTACTTCACTTGTACAACTACATCTGATGGCAAGCTTTAAGTCAGATCTGACACTTATTTTAGTCTGCACATGGCCTGCCCATTGTTTTATTTGCTACTTCCATCCATGCCTTTTTTAAAAAATGGTGAGTTGTATAAATTATTTTCTTATATATTACAATATAGTATAGTAAAAGAAATAAAGTGCACAGTAAATGTTATGCGCTTTAATCATCCCAAAACCATCCCCCACCATGTCCGTGGAAAAATTCTCTTCCTTGAAACTGGACTCTGGTGCCAACAAGTTTGGGAACCACTATTAGAGGACAGAAGCTCCCGGGTGATTTAAATATCTATTTTTATCTGTGATCACTTTCAGAACTTCATTTTAAATTCAGTGTAAAATGGCAGTACTAATAATACTGAGTTAATTTTTTTGTATCACAATTTCATATTTATTCACATACTGTTTCCCTTGTTTTTTTCTGTTTTTTTTTTTTTTTTTGAGTTGGAGTCTCACTCTGTTGCCTAGACGAGTGCAGTGGCCACTCCCGGCCACCTCAGCCTCGGCCTGCTGGGCTCCAGCGATCCTTCCGCCTCAGCCTTCCGAGTAGCCGGAATTACAGGCACATGCTACCACGCCTGGCTAATTTTTTGATTTATTGTAGAGATGAGGTCTCGCCTGCCCAGGCAGGTCTCGAACTCACGGGCTCAGGCAATCCACTCACCTCAGCCTCCCAAAGGCGCGGGATTACAGTCTGAGCCACTGAGCCCAGCTCTGTTTCCCATATTGTAAAGGCATTCTTTAGAGTCTAAGTCCTGCCATGGCTTTGATATTATTTAGGGGTGACATTTTGGTTTTATACAAGGTTGAGAGGAATTTGGGGACACTTTGGGGGAGATATTTCTTCACTGACATCCTGCCTGCTGTCCAGTCTCACTTCCTGCTTCACCTTCCACAAGCTCACCACATGATTGTGAGGCTAGAGGTTAATTCCCTTTCCTCTGTTCTCCTCTTTGACCTCATAAACCTTCTTTGAGAAAGCTTTATTGGGGCAGGCTTAGGAGCTTCTCCAGGTATCTCCATAGCTTCCAGCATCTCCCTTATTATTATACTTATTCCGCTGTCCATTCAGCCTGGGCAGACCGAATGCCTCTTGGGAACAGGAGCTCTCCTTTTGGTTCTCTTTGTCAATCCTGGACCTAGCACAGGGTGGAGCAGGCACATGAAGGCTGTGGCTGAGGTTACCGTGGATTGACTATAGTACTAGCTAATGTAATTTTTCTTTTTAGATTTTTAAAAGTCAAAGACTAGTTACATAGTATAATAACATTAGAACCCAAACGAAAATGAATATTCCTCTTGGTTGTTTTAAAGAATTGTACAGTTTCCCTTTTCTCGCCTGTCACAAGTCACTAAAAGAGACGTGAACTAGGCAAGCAAGGGGCTGCATCCGCGTTTAGCTCCATGAGCACACACACGTGGGTGTGCCACACACTCAGCCTTGCTCCTGGTATTCTTGCCTCATCTGTCCCTCCTCCTTCCCCACACTCACTGTGTTCAAGTTTGTTATCTAAAATGGTAAAACTCATGAGCCAGCACTGTGTTGCCAATCAGGGGCACCTGTCCTGAGTTTATTTATTATAGCTGGCCAGTGATTCCCAAACATCTGTGACCAGAAATGCATTTTATGTGCATGCATATATATACATATGCACATGGATATGTTCATATAACATGCATGTATACACATAGACATGTACACATGCGTACACACATGATAAAACATTTCATGAAAGTATGCATACACTATTGCCCCATTGGCTTTTGTGGTTACAGTTAACTGAGGTCCAGAACAGTCAAATATTTTGAGAGAGGGAGGGAGAGAGAGACCACATTTACATAACCTTTAGTAAAGTATATGGTTACAATTGTTCTATTTTATTATTAGGTATTGTTACTCTCTTACTATGCCTAATTTGTAAGTTAAACTTTAGTATAAGTCTGTATGTATACTATAAAATATAGTGTATATGAGGATATATAGGGCTTGGCTCTATCCATGAGTTTAGGTATCCACTGAGGGTCTTAGAACCTATCACCCACAGGTAAGGGGGGACTCTGTAATCTTATTATGTGCAATTTAAACTCACTGTGCTATTTAACAAGTGGTGTTCATGACCCCAAACTGATTTTACAACTCTTGATGGATCATGATGGCAGTAAGAGGGGAAAAATTATGGAATATCCTTCACTTAAAAGCACTACCCATTGTTAGATGCTTCATGGATTTTATAATCACTTTCTAGAAGAAAAGAAATACTATGCCCTGTAAATAAATGTACATGACAGGTGAAAGACATAACCTCAATTCAGAAATGTTAAAATGTGGGAAGGTCTGTGTTGTAGAGTGAGAGGCATTGCTCACTTTGTGCTCGACACTGTTCTCTATGGACTACATAGTGGATCTAATTGAGTCCTTGATGACAGTCTCGCAGGGCAGATAATTATGGATTAGAGTAAATAAGTTGCTTTCCCAAGAATACAAAACTCTTAAGAGCCAGTACCCACTTATGTGACTTTAAAGTCCACCTTGTTGTAAAGTTCTGTCCCTGTTAGATCATGTCTTGTGGTTCAAGTGTTCAGCCCTGGCAACTTTACTTGTGTCTATATATTCACTCACCAGAAGTGGTTTTTTGTATGTTGGGCCCTAGGAAAGCATGGCTCACCACTTCTGCCCATTAGAACCTCTAGTCAGAGAGAAAAGAGACTTAAGCAGGTCAGCCTGATGTAGCATGATAGTTCAGAACGGTTGCTGAGGGAAGGGAGGGTTTTGTGGGAGAGACTCTGCTGGGGCTGACTCTTGGAGGACAGTTAATGACTAAATGCACTGGGTCTCATATTCCTTATTTGTAAAAGTGAGAGAGGCAAGCCTGATTTATCCATGTCCTTGAATTCATATCTGTCTGTGACCTTTTCTTAGCATCTTATCTGCATTATGTCGGCCCTCTCTGACAACCAGAAACAAATTCTCCATCCCTTGCTGTTCCATGCTTATGTTACCTTTTGAACTGCCCATTAAGTTTCACTTTCCTGTTTGAGATAAGCCTCTGGTTCTGGGTTCACAGCAGTGACTGACAGGCAGAAAACTCCTTGAGCAATCAAACCCTGCCTGTGTCACCATTCTTGGATCTTTTCTTATGGTTTTGCAATATCAAAATTGGTTTTTAAATGCTGTGACAGCAAAAAAGAAAAAACTAGTGACAGAAAATAGTTTTCATTATAAAAAAGTAGGTCATGCATAATATTAATTGAGAACAGGATAAAAAATGAGGGTAATAAGGAAGAAGGAATACTTTGGAAATGAAAAGACACTCAAAGGAAAAGAGACAAAATGGATAATAATGGGGAGGGAACACCTTTTTTTTCAGTGATACCATCAGTATTTAAATACTGCCTTCAGGCCAAGTGCAGTGCTTGTGTCTGTAATCTCAGCACTTAGCTTGAATCTAGGAGCTCGAGACCAGCCTGAGCTACATGGCCAGACCTTGTCTCTACAAAAAAAAAAAAAAAAAAAATCAAATAATTAGCCAGATGTGGTGGCTTGTGCCTGTAGTTCCAGCTATTGGAGAGGATGAGGTAGGAGGATTGCCTGAGCTCAGGAGGTGGAGCTGCGTTGAGCCATGATTGAACCACTGCATTCCAGTGTGGGCAACAGAGTGAGACTCTGACTCAAAAACAAATCAAAATAAAACAAAAACAAAAGAACCCAAAACAGACAAATACTGCCTTCACCTCCTGAAATTTTGATCTGTTGGTAACAACTGTAACCTCTCTTCCTCACTATTTTCTACCTATTCCATGTAACAATTTCCCGGAAAACCTAGCAGCTTAAAATGGTAAATATTTATTGTCTCAAAAAAATTTTTCTGGCTTTACATTTTTAAACTATAGAATTAAAGTTTAAAGAATTAGTTTAGCCTTCATTTAAAATTTCGGTTCAAGATATCAAAAAATGTTAGTTGGCAAATGTACGTTGCTATATTCCTGTCCCTTCAACTCATTTTTAGAATCCAAAGTTGCATTAAGATCTGCTGACAGTGACTGTCCTGCATTAGATCCCAGGCAGTTTCCCATCTCACTTAACATGCCCTAAGGGATGCTCCAGCCCAATCTCAGGGCCTCCAAGAAAGAGCCTGACAGATGCCATCCCCTATAGTGAGTGCTGGTGGCACTCATGAGTAACAAGTGATGGCTTGTGTCTGTAAATCGTCAAAGCAAAGTAAGCTGTAAGCTCATTAGCAGTACATTTCAGCTCATCGTAACATGTTGACTCTGGACAAAGAAAGGCAGCTCCTAAAGGTTGGGTGGAAGTTTCTCTGGCTCTTTTTTTTTTTTTGAAGAGAAAGTGATTGCTGAACTAAGAGTGCAGAATCACTCAACACTTGAGGAAAATTTCCATCTTTTGGATGCTTTTAGATTGAAACTCCATAAACCAACATTTTCTTTCCTTTTTTTTTTGGTGGTGAGTGTCTGATTTTTGGAAATGCTCTCTGTCAGGTTGCCTTCTTTTTAACAACTTACTGTGTAAACATATCATTGGGTGGTGCATCTGTTGTACTTACTGCATGAAGTTGGATAGAATTTCTTTCAATACTTAAACCATGGGAAGCTCAACAGTCCCATTCTTAATCAGTGGCATCAGTTAAACCCAAGGAACTCCAGAATCTTTGGAGGTTACATGATACGAGTCTGGAAATGAACGGATCTCAGGCAAACCAAAGCCTTATAACGCTTTATTTGAGCTCATAAAAGCGAGGGAAAAAAACAAAAAAAGAATGTCCTTCAAATAACCCCTGATAAAGTTTGTTCAGATATTAGTTATTAGAAAACCATAAGCTTATGGATATTCATAGGGAAAAAACAGGTTTAAAAATTACTGTTAGCATCCTTTGGTTTGTGGATGAAATTACAGAGGTAGCATATTATAGCATTTTATAGGTTGTGTTGTCCTTATTTCTGGGTTAATGAAGTCCTTAGAAATGCTGTGTTTTGGGCAGCCTCCTCGGGTCCCCTCCCACTGTGGGAGCTTTTCTGTCCTCTCAGTAAATCCTGCTTTCTTTTAAAAAAAAAAAAAAAAAAGCTGTGTTTATTAGATTGCAGCAGATGAGAAGGTAGGGAGGACCGATCCAGGCACCCGGTTTCTTAGCCCCACCTCCATGGCCTTGTAAAGTCTGGAGTCGCTTTGCTCTACCTCAGGTAGTGATATCTTCAGTTTCTAGCCCTCTTTTGTTACTTAATTGTGTTATCAAACCTCCAACTGGAATAGACTCAGTCACCACAAGAGAAAAAAGAAAGTGGTTCATCGAGTAGATGTACTCGCCAAATGTCAGATCTTTTCATCACATACTTGGTAAAGTTTTAAATTTTAGAGTAAAGAATTAGGAGCAGACATGAGGCTTCTATTTTTTCCAAGTCATTTGGTACTAGGAAAAATGTATTTTGTAATGGTCTTTTTTGTTAAATTTGTTTTTAACAAGTGAGGATATTTTAGCAAATTACAAAATTAAAAGGTTAAATCAGAAATGTTGGCTGCTGACTGTCTACAGCAGTTATGTTGCCTTAGAAAGCTTAGAATTACTAGTGGTCTGAAATGTGAAATAAAAAACTGATCTTGAGAAAAGCCCAGTTCTTTTAGTTCTTTCCATCGTTCTCTTTGGCTTTAAAAATTGCTGCTGTTACAGAAAGAGAACTGACCACACAAGAGCTAAGCATAAGTGATCCCTAACCCACAAGAAGGAAAAACCCACAAAGTGAAGTTTTATACATGCTCCTAGATACTTGGTCTATGAACTTAGTGGTTTGAGATTTTCCTAAATATAATGTTTAAACATTTTTTAATATTTTTTTTTTACTTTAATAAAGCTCATTTTAGTTTTTCTTTTTGTAGATGAAAGCCAAAAAATTCTAACATGGTGCTTATGTTGTCTGATTAACAAAGAACCACAGAATTCTGGAGAATTGAAACTTAACTCCTGGTTACAGGTAAGAGAGTAAAGCTTGTTCGTCACTGCTTTGAATTAAACTGATTATTTAAAGCTTCTGCTTACAAAAAGTTTTTTGGCTCAGTTCTGTGATGTTTGAGAAACTCTTTTGAACATATGCTTTGTTGTCACATTATTTTGTTGAGTGTGAGGTTTTTCAAGATATTTCAGTTTTGCTTGACTGTGGATTCCAAAGTGTCGATCCTTAGGGTGCATTCCTCTATGCCTATGAGACTGAATGTTGAGTAGCTTTGAAAAGCTACCTTCAGGTGATTAAAAGAATCCATTTCCCTCTAGCAATTGCTGTCCTTCAGAAAAGGATGTTTGTCCCTACCAGTCTGGTTTAAATACATGATATCTCTCCAGGCACTTTTCTGCCACTGTCAGAATTGATTCTGTAGTGACAGGAAAATTCAGCAATGCCCAGGGAGAAAGCAGCACTCTTTATTTTGTGTCCTAAAGTCAGGACCTGGCCAGTGTGCTCAGACCAGCTCTTGGTGCTCTGTAGCCACTGCTGCTCACACTGTCACATGGCTTCCCTGCTGTGCTGGTCCAGATAGCTGACAGTTTCCTAGGCTTCCCGTCTGCTCTGCTTCCTCGGGAAGGGCAGGCATGAGTTGGAAATTTTGTGAGCCTGTCTGTGGCTGCCCTCACCACCAGCTAGAGGCTGTTCTCCTCTGTCTCCCCCTGCCCCCCTCGCTGCAGCAACCCGGGGACTTGCTGAGGCCTGTCAGAGCCCACTTAGGATGCAGATGGTTTAGATTAGCTGCTCAGTGTTATGAAGTCACCCGGCCAGATTCACGCGTATGGTTTTGTCTATCAATCTGACTGGTGATATTACATTCACTGCTTTTTACAATTCCTTTGTTTTAGACGAAATTGCTAACAGAGGTGGTAAAGACAGTATTTGTATTTTTTTGGCAGAGTGAAAGAATAGAAGGGACAGTAGAAGTGGAAGGGATTGGGCAAGGAAAGGAAAGAATCCAAACTTTCATTGGAAGGAAGACTTTCATGGGAAGAAACTGACAAGTAGAGTTAGGAAAGAAAGAATGTGTTAAAAACAAGGCTGTAGAAGTAGAAGAGCATATTTCATTCTTAATTTTTTAAATGGTTGCGTTTGTTGAGTATTTGATATTTTAATGATTATTTAGCATATAATTTGTACTGGCTACCTCATTAAGTCCTGGAATAGACCATTTAATAAAGTGTTTTTAGGGCAACTAGGTTAAATTTATTTATTTAATTCTTGACTTTATTAGCCTATTTTAAATTTTCTAGCCTTACGTTTTGTTCTGTGGTTTTCTCTTGTTTAAAACTGTGTCCGTTTATTAATAGGTACTTATTAAGTATAGTGCAGGGAAGTAAAGTCGAAACACTTAATTTCTGCCTTCAGGGAATTCACAGACTGGTAACCAGGTCACTGCAGGCAGCATGGTTGAGCTACAGACAGAGCTGTATACAGGTGTGATGGTGACACAGGGCAGACACGTGCTCAGACTCGGGGATTTGGAGACATTTCCTGGGGGAGGCGACGTATTTGCTGAGTTTTGAAGGATGGCTAAGAGAGCAGGGATGGAGTTAGGGAGAATATTCCTGTCCGCAGAAGGAGCATGTAAAGGTGAGAAAGCGGATGTTGTATTCCGGGACCAGCAGGGGCTTGGTGTGCCTGGAGCTCTGGGTCCTGTGGGGTTGGAGATGAGACATGAAGCCAGAGAGACCGTCAAACACCAAGCCTTATGCAAGACCATGATAGATTTTTATTTTATCTTGAAGGCAGCAGGGAAACCACTAGAGCACTGGAACAGAGAGCTCATATGGCCAGGTGTAAGTTTTAGAGACTGACAGCAAAAAGAAGTTGGCTGGGAAGAGGGCAACGATAGCACTTTGGAAGCTATTGTTGTGGTGGTGTGAAAAATGGTGAGGGCTTGAATAAAATGGAGAGGAAGGACCCAGTTTGTAAGCTCTTAATAAGGTAAATATCCAAAGGATGTAATGTCAGCTTAAATGTCAATATACTTAGGTGTAGGTGGAGATGTTCAGAGAGTAGCTGAGCATACAATTCTAAGGAGAGCGGGCTGATTTTCTGGCAGAGGGTGGTGAGTCAGGGGCCTAGGGGAATCAGGAAGGCTTGAAGTGGAAGAGTGAGCAATGCTGCAGAATAAAAGGAGTCCAAGAAGCAGGAGCAAAGCAGGAGCACTCAGGAAGGATGGTGGCCACTTATATCTACTGCTTAGGGCAGCACTGTCCAATAGAAATAAAACACGTGCTAGATGGATGATGGTAAAGTTTCCAGGAGCTGCCTTAAGAACTGTGAAAAGAAATAGGTAAAGTTAATGTTAAGACAATATTTTATTTAAGTTTAATTCAAATGAAATAAAACAAAAGATTCGGTTCTGCCATTGTACTCCTTGCATTGAAGTGGTGCCTGGTAGCCACCTGGGGCGAGTGGTCACCCTGTTGGACAGGGCAGCTGCAGAATGTAAGCAGAAGGACCAGGAAGCACTACATGAGTTGAGCCACAAAGAGGAAGGACCTTGGTGAGAATCGTTTTAGTGAGAGGTGGAGAGAAAGAGCCAGCTTGCTCCAGATTGAGGAATGATGGGAAAGTGAGGAAGGAGAGATGATCAACTAGTTACTCTTTGAAGAAGCTTGGCAGCGAAGGAGGGCGCGAGTAGGTGGTAGCCAGATTAAGGTTGGGTTGGCTGAGACTGAGGAAGTCCTGAGCGTGTTTCGCTCTGAGAAGAACGTGCGAGTAGAGAGCTCTTGAGGACGTGGGAGATGGGGAAAACAGTTTTCCTCCTCATTGTACTTGGCAAACCTGAAGTGAAGAATATGAACTGATAAGACGATGTATAGGTACATATTAATTATGTAACTGAGCAATCTAAAGCTAATGACATGTAGCTATCACAGTCAGCACCTACACAATCTTATCACGGTGGCCATAAATGCACCAAGACAAGGTAGAAGTTGGTTTATAAGTCAATTGTATAAGTCTTGGATATGCTTTATTTTATCTTACAGGTGATTTTTTTCTTTATAAAAGTTTTAGAATGACACCTGTTAAAATGTGTAACTAGTCATTCAGTATCCTTTTGAAAATAATGTATCAACCATATTTTAATAATATTTGCTCATTTGTCCAACAGACCTTTACTTAGTGCCTGCCATGTACTAGGATGTTCCAGTTGTGGTAATGAAATCTTGGGTTGTTCTGTGTCACTGGAGCATTATGAGTATGATTGAAATGGCCTGAGTCAAAAACCAAGAATTTCTTCTATGAGTTATAAAATTCAGTAAAAATTCAAATGAATTAATAAATCTGAAAATGTTAAACCGAGTTGTGTTTTTAGCACAGAGATGAAAGAAAAAAATCTGTTTGATGCTTGACAGGTGTTATAATATGGTATGTTAGAAACACATTTCATACTTTTTTTGAAGTTCTACTGATAACCACGAATGTGCCATCATTTAACACCACTTCAATGGCTATTACAGTTTAGAGGCTGAGTAAGACTACAGCACTCTTTCACATATTTGGGGAATATTTAGTTCTTGAAAAACGTAGTTTTACTGGTAAATCCTCCAAACAGATATTTTGAGCACCTGCTGTTCCAAGCTCCACGACGGAGGCCAAGAGTACAGCATTGGACCTGGAAAGGCAGCCTGTTCTCAGAGACTGTAATTGAAGGGGAGGCTTCCAGGTCCTGCCAAATTTAGGGGATGCCTGTGTTCTCTGGGAAGACTGTGCCACTCTTTTTCGTTTTCCGAGTTGGAGTCTCACTTGTCGCCCAGGCTGGAGTGCAGTGGCACTCTCATGGCCACCCCAGCAGCAGCCTGCTGGGCTCCGGTGATCCTTCTGCCTCAACCTTCCAAGTAGCCGGAACTACAAGTACGCACTACCATGCCTAGCTAATTTTTTGACCTATTGTAGAGATGAGGTCTTTCTGAGTTGCCCAAACCCATGGGCTCAGGCAGTAGGCAGTCCCCTCACCTCAGCCTCCCAAGATGCTGGAATTACAGGCTTGAGCCACCATGCCCAGCCCAATATTTTTTATTCTGGCGAAAACAGCAGGATTGCATGGGTATGGTGGCTCACGTCTATAATCCCAGAGCTCTGGGAGGTCAAGGTGGGAGGACTGCTTGAGCCCAGCAGTTAGAGACCAATCTGGGCAATGTAGCAAGATCTTGTCTCTACAAAAAAAATTTAAAAAAATTAGGTGGGCCTGGTGACACATGCTTGGAGTCCCATCTACTTGGGAGGCTGTGGAGGAAGGATCATGTGAGCCTAGGAGGTCAGGGCTGCGGTTAGCCATGATCGTGTCACTGCCCTCCCATCTAGGCTACCGAGTGAGACCCCAACTCGAAACAAAACAAAAAACAAACAAACAAGCAAAAAACAAACTCAGCAGGATACTTGGAGCAGAGATCAGCAGGTGTTGTATTCTATCTTTATTAGCTTTCAAAATGCAGTTCTAAAAAATATTCAGATTGCTTTAGTCCTCTACTTCATTCTTCTTTAAAAAAAGAGGCTAATTTGCAAAATCTGACAAACTTGCAGGAAAGTGCATGAAACATAAATGTGAAGCTTAACCAACTGTTGTGAAATAAATACCCTCGTAATTGCCACCCACGTCAAGAAATAGGAGCGTTGCCCAGGCCCTGGGTGCTCCCTGCCTACCATGCGCCCTCCCTGTTTCTCTTCCCCTCTGGTGCCCTCCAGCAGTCACCACTAGCCTGGCTTTTATTGCATTACTTTACGGTTTTACCACTTAATTGTGCCATCTGGTCTGCTTTTTGTTTTAACCTGATAGAAATCGAATAGCACAGTATGTGTTCTTTTGTGTTGGATTTATTTTTGTTCAATATTATGTTTGTAAGATTTATTCATGATGTTGGATGTAGTTGTAGTTTGTTCATTTTAGTTGCTGTATATTATTCCATTTTATTAATATCCCACAATTTACTCATTCTACCTTGGATGGGAATTTGTTTCCAGTT